TGGCAAAAATATTTATTGTAATGTTTCTACAGCTTTAATATAAGATAAAATGTAAATTATGATGGTGTTAAATCGCCTAATAGCAACTAATAATGGATCACAATAGGATCATTTTTAAATGCTATTCATTCAAAGTAATAAAAAAAACCCCAAGATATCATCTATTTGAAATGATGGATTATTCAAACAGAGATTAAAACGCAGAGGGTCTCGCGGGCGCATTGATGAGTCAAACTGGGTTTTTCAGAGTAAAAGAACCTTTTCTCTCCTCGCTGAAAGAGTTAATCTGAAGTTGGCAGCCAACTCCACAGTCTCGGTCAGACGTGCGGAGAATTGGAAAATAACGGACTTGAAAATCATTTCTTTTGTGTTTCTAGTCATAGACTGTTTAAACTCAGCTGAAGGTTTTATATGCAGCAGTTTTTTATGAGAATGAAATCGACGCTTTTGCAGTGGAAGAGCTTGAATTGTGATCTTTTGATTTTTTTTTTTTTTTTAAATATTATAACAACACACATTTTAATATTGAGGTTTATTTAGGTTTATTTTAAATATCCTCACACCTTTATATAAATAATAATGACTGTAATAATAAATAAAAATCTAACAAAACAGGTTCCTCCAGGTTTTAACACAGCAAAAAAATAATAAAAATAAAAAAGAATCTGGCATTTTCACGGGTCATTTGGGGTCTTACAGGAGAGTGTGGCTCATTTGCTTGACAGACTCCATTTCCAATACATATTTGCATGTGTTTCGTGTTTCCTCTGCTGATATTAATTGACGGCGGGTTTTAGTAACGGTGCAGCACAAATGTCGCTGGCGGGAATGCCAGCCCGTCTTTTTTTTTTTTTTTTTTTTTTTTTTTTTTTTCTTCTTCTTCTTCTTCTTCTTTCCAGCTCTTTTCATTTCCATGTTATTCCTGGCAGACTGCGTGGATGATGTCTTCACTCTTTTTAAAGTATTTATATTTTAAGTGCCCTATGAGAAGAGAGAGAGAGAGAGAGAGGGAGAGAAGAAGGAGTAGAAGAAGAAGTGATGGTGCATTTTTAATTGTCTTGGCTTGAGTTTTTCGTCCTGTTAACGGGGGCCTGGATGATGTTTGAGGGGAAGCAGCCAGAGACATGATGGTGGAAAATAATCCATGACTTTAATTGGGCGGATATCGGTCTGTTAGTGAAACTCGTTTTTTTTTTTTTTTTTTTTTTTTCCTAGGCCTGAATTGTGACCCATAATGCACCACGCACAGACGCAGCTACAGTGCTGATTTTTTATTTATTTATTTATTTTTCTGGGGCTTTTAAGGTGAAGGTGACGAAACACAGGGAGCAGGTGAACAGGTGAAGACGTCGTTGTCGTTAGTTTAAGCTAGTAAAAATATCGCGGGGAAAACAGCGACAGCTCCGACTGCTAATTGATAATAAGCCCGAATTAAAGCTAAAGGCCAAGCGCATTTGGCCTTAATTTAATTTCCAGGTAAGGAGATTAACCCGGAGACACCTACCACGATGGGTTTATGCTGCTTCGATAACCTAAATAAGCCTTTTAGTATTTCAACACAGCGACCTGAACGTGAGACAATATAGTCCCAGTGTGGCGCAGCAGATAGTGCAGACATGCAAATCTACAGTATGGCTCACCCACGGAGAGGCTGAATGATCGTCTCTCCTCCCTCCAGGTTTTGGCAGTTTCAGAGAATCTGCATAACAGTTATTCCTGGAAAAATAAATATGTGACTTTTTTCAGCCCATGGAAGGCAAATAGCATAGCTAAGGAAAATGACTTAAACCCCCTTGTAGTCAAATTCCAGTGACATTTGAATGGTGGTTTATTTGCATCTTGGCAGGGTCACCTAGAAAGCTGTAATTCTTATTGAAAAGCAGACACACAGTGGAATCACATTCAAGTGCCAGTTATCTGCTGCTGCTAAGTTTCCTCATGTTTCTACTGCAGGTGGTGAAGGAAGCAGAAACGTATCTGACTCTGGTGGCACCTTTCTCTCTCTCTCTCTCTCTCTCCCCCCCCCCCCTCCCTCCCTCTCTCCCTCTCTCTCTCTCACACACACACACACTCACACTCACTCACCACAGTGAGATTTGTGATTGTGTGTACCTCCGGCTTCCTTCGCTGCATTATCTAAACCACATATCAAACTTTGGCAGCGGTCAGTGACACACAACGCGAGTGAGAGTGAATGCGGAGGTGTGTCGCCCCGCACCGTGTTAGCAGATGATGGGTGAGAGCTGGTGTTTCATTAGGCTGATGTTCAGGACTGTTTGGAAAAGAGAGCGGAGGCGGTGACGTTTACTGGTGAGAGGGAAGGTGGTGACTGTTTGAGTGCCTCTGCCTGTGCCTTTTGTTTGTGTATTTGCAGTTGTGGCTTTGATTAAATAAAAATTTCAATGACCTTGGTGAGCGTTGGCCTCGTCCGGTCTCTGGCTCTTTGGACGTTGTGACCTCACCTGAGGTCATTTTCTCGGAACATGGAGAGAAATTTATGAATTCACTCATTTATTTTCATAATGACAATTATTTTCCTTATTAATTGTTTTCTCCATCAAAAGTTGCCGTTTATAAATTCCCAGATCTCAAGGTTTTTTTTATTTATGAGTCAAAAACTCAAAAAAAATATTCAGTTTATTATCAATCATGACAAAGAAAAGCATCAAATCCTCATGTTTGAGAAGAGGGAACAAGAACAGGAACAAGAGTATTTGTCATTTTTGCTTAAAAAAAATGACAACAATGACGAGTTGATTATCAAAACAGGTAATTGATATTCCATTTTCTGTCAATCGGCTAATCAATGAATCAAAAAGGGTTTCAGCTCTACACTCGCTCCTCGCCCCTGCAGCTGTGGATGAAGCCTCTGTGTGATATTACCGGTCTTGTTGCGTTGGCAGAGTTGTGGATGTTGACGGAACAGCCCGTGAACTGAGCAGTCATATGATTTCTGTACACGGTGAATCTGTTTGTTTGGAGCCTCGGCTCCTGGTCTGTGATTCAGCAGCACTTGCGCCTTCAGACGACGTGTCTGCAGAGCAGGTGCAAACCCTGAATGACATGCTTCTCGATGAGGCAACATGGCAGCCGTCGCCGCTCCCCGACCGAACGCCAGAAACCCTCCTGGGGGACTCGGGAGGAAGCCGGAGAGCAAAATTTTTTTTTTTTTTTTTTTTTTGGGGGGGGGGGGGGGAGGGGGGAGGGGGGCGGGGTTGTGGGATTTGGTGGGAGACGTTCTAACGCTCCTGCTGACCGTTTATCCTCTAATGAAGCTAATTCTGTCTCCTCTGCCTGCTGCCTTCCCCCTTAAATTCTCTAACCATCTCTGCATTTTGTGCGTCTAAATCATCTCGTCAGTCAGTTCTGTGTGTGCAGTCAGAGGAGTGTGGCTGCCTGGGTTTGTTTCTCCCTCTTTGTTTGCTGTGGTAAACCCATGAGCAGCTGCCGGTGGTGGGGTCTGGAGGGATTCTGAAGCTGTGTGTCCTCTCTTTGCCATCCTCTGCCAAGGTGGCATTATGCAAGCAGAGAGAGGGGTAGAGAGAGGCAGAGGAGCGCAGCGGAGGGCGGGGGGTTTGTGTGTGTGTGTGTGTGTGTGTGGAGGTGGGGGTGGTGGGTGGTGGGTGCGAGGGAGACGAGGCGACGGCGGCCATAGTAAAGATGGAGGCAGGCTGAGGGGCTGCTGGGATTGGTGCAGGAGAAGACTTGCTCCCCTGAACTTTGCCTCCGTGTCAGAGTGGAACTTGTCGATTTGGCAAATTGTGCAGCGTCGGACAAGGCTGCGCGCTCTCTTACACTCCCACCTGCTCCCTCTCTCTCTCTCTCTCTCTCTCTCTCTCCTGCGCGCTCTCGCTCTCTCTCCCTCTCATTGCCACTACACCACCACCACCACCACCACCACCCCCTCCAACCCCTTCCCCTCCCTCCCTCCCTCCCTCCCCACCCTCTCCTCTTTCTCTTTTCCCTCCCTTTCAGCTCTTGAAGCTAACGCATTGGCTGGGCTACAGGCATCTTGTTGCCAAATAGGTGGGCCCTACTCGTGTTGGCAAAGGCTCAAGCAATGGTTAGGGAAAGAACGCGGAGAGGACGAGAGACGGCGAGCGAGAAACAGAAAGAGAAAGAGAGAGAGTTGGAGAGAAAAGGGGAAAAAAGAAGCAGCACTCGGCTTTGCCAGCGGTCGTATGCGCTCGTCCAACATTGATTCGGCTCTCTATTTTTTTTTTTTTTTTTTTTCTTTTCCCTATTCTGTGCTCTGCTCTCCCTGGCCCCCCCATCTGTGTGTGTGTGTGCATGTGTGTGAGTGTGTGTGAGTGTGTGTGAGAGTGTGTGTGTGAGTCTTGCGCCGGGCCCAGGGATCAGAACAGACACCACTACCAATTACACTTTGCCAAGGATTTTTTTTTTTTTTTTTTTTTAATTTTTGGAAAGCACAAAGGACTGTTTATTTTAAGTGCATCTCTCCCCGTTGTTAAAGTTCTTTTCTTCTCCCACAGTGCAAAACTGTTAACATTTCTATTTTTACCTTAGCAATTTTTTTTTTTTTTTTTTTGCTACAAGTTTTGAATCTGTCTTTTTTGTCATTTTGTGCTTTTGTCTAATGAGCTACTGGCTGTGATCCTGCTGCAGTGAATTTTTCAGTTCCTAAAATCTTGTTTTTTTTTTTTTTTTGTTTTGGTTTTAAACTTTGGCCCACTGTTTTTAGTGAGCAGCATATTCTGCTAATTATTTTTTTTACAACCCCCCCCCTCCCCCAAGTTTTTTTTTTCATCTGCTAATTCTCCATACCCTGCCAAACCAGCACTTGCTTTACATTGGGGAGCGCGGGAGGAAAAAAAAAAAAAAAAAAAAAAAAAAAAAACTGGTGCAGGAGATTTTTTTTTTTTTTTTTTCACTTTAAACGCTGTGCCAAATTTATGATGAGAGTGCAAAATGGTAACTACCAGGCCGTCTGTCTTCCTCTTGCAGTGTGGTTTTCTGTGGTGATTTCTGTCTGCTTTCAGTTTGTTGTGGAAATGTGAGTCTGGTTGGAGCTCCCTTTGCATGGTAGCAGAGATAGGAAATGGTATGGCTGATCTTTTAGCAGCACATTTCAACAGTGGTCTTGTGGCGGCAAAGCTTGGCGGTGGTGAGCGACCGGTGTGTGGCAACCCTGGCACAGGAACGCTGTGGCGAGATCTGGGCTTTGTTGCCCAGAGATATGTAGTGAAGGTATTATGGTACAGCAGAATAACTTCTCTTTTTACAGCAGAAACACGGGAGCGCAACTTGGCTCAGCTTTTCAGTCGCTTTTGGATTTTGAATTTATGTATTTTTTGTTTGTTGTCTTTGTGTTTATTTGTGAAAACGGAGGCTTTGCATTGTACTTTTGCATCTTACAGTTAAGATTAATTTCCCTTTTATTGCTGCATGTTTATTTATATTTGATCTGCATGGTAATAATTATGAAATACTTTATTTTGATATAGAATATTTATTCAAATTGCCTTTTGGAATTTAAATATTATAGTAAACTGTGTAATTACATTTTAAATTAACCTATAATTATGGTTATTTTGATACCATTATAACAACAATATAATCACTGTATTATCATAGATTCTTATTAGACTTTATTACTTTATTGCCTCTTTTTCTATTGAAAATATCATGTTAAAGATTTGCATGCTCTCTTTCAAAGTAAAAGCCTTTCCTCAGCCTCCTAACACCACGTCTGTCTCTCTCTCATCAGGATGAATTTCATCCCTTCATTGAGGCCCTCCTCCCCCATGTCCGTGCCTTCTCGTACACCTGGTTCAACCTGCAGGCCCGTAAGCGCAAGTACTTCAAGAAGCACGAAAAGAGGATGACCAAGGACGAAGAGCGCGCGGTGAAGGACGAGCTGCTGGGGGAGAAGCCAGAGATCAAGCAGAAGTGGGCCTCGCGCCTGCTGGCCAAGCTCCGCAAGGACATCCGGCCCGAGTTCCGCGAGGACTTTGTGCTCACCATCACGGGGAAGAAGCCCCCCTGCTGCGTGCTGTCCAACCCCGACCAGAAGGGTAAGATCCGCCGCATCGACTGCCTCCGCCAGGCCGACAAGGTGTGGCGGCTGGACCTGGTGATGGTCATCCTGTTCAAGGGCAGCCCCCTGGAGAGCACGGACGGGGAGCGGCTGGTCAAGTCGCCCCAGTGCTCCAACCACGGCCTGTGTGTCCAGCCGCACCACATTGGAGTGACGGTCAAGGAGCTGGACCTCTACCTGGCCTACTTCGTCCACACACCAGGTACGTGGGCAGTCACACACACACACACACACAGGCACACACACACACACACATCACTGAGCGAGCTTCTTCATGTGGTCCTTCATACACACACATGGGTCAACGTGTGATGTGTCACACACACTTTGGCATGTGAGTCACAGATTAGACCCTGCTCTTTACTATGTACCAAGCTGAGCCGATGCCAACGCTTCGATAAACACAGTCAGGACTGAGATAACGACCGGCTCTGACATTTAAAGGGGCAGTCTGCGCTTTATAATCTTTAAAAAAAAAAAAAAAAAATGTTTTTCAGATCGATGTTTCTATCTGGTTTAAAGAGATTCTGAGAATTTGACAGTCAGGCTTAAAACCTCTGTTTACCTAGAGATATGTTTGCAGTGGTACATTTGTTCAAGTATTTGTGTGCAAATTTGTCTAAATCCAAATGTGCATGTTTTCCGGTGCCATCTGTAAACAAAAGCATCTGCAAACCTGTTTATCTGCGTGTGCATGCGTGTGCCTACGTGTGCGTGTGCGAGGCGGTTTGTCGTGTGTCTGTAATCCATGTGTATGTTATTGTGAGATTGGTGTGTATCAGTGGCAGTGTGGTGTTGTGTATGTGTCTGTGGATTCTTTTGGTGTGTGTGTGTGTGTGTGTGTGTGTGTGTGTGTGTGTGTGTGTGTGTGTGTGTGTGGTGGTGGTGGTCTGGAGAGCGCAGTGACAGCTGGCCCAGTCCCAGATAGTTCAGGAGGCAGGGAGAGTCAGCCTGTCTGCAGCCGCAGCCGCCTCAGCCTAACGCCACTCTCCACACACACACACACACACACACACACACACACACACATATAAATGGACACACTCAGGAGCTCTCCCTTCGTTGTTTGTCTGATTGCACTGATCACACACACACACACACACACACACACAGAAGCTGCGACTTCTCTGGTTATGACAGCTCTGTCTCTGCTTTATTCACGTGTCCTGCTGTGATCGTGGAGTTAAAATAGAGGAGGTGAAAACGTTGTAGTGTGATGTGTTTACAAACCTACATGGGTTCTTCTGTGAGGGCAGTGATCCACACTGTGAAACGTAATAGTTGGAATATTCACTCATTCTACACTGAGAGAAGCTCAGTGGGAAAAAATAGATATTTACTTAATTCTACGTTATACTTAATTCTAACAAGAATGATTCATTGTTTTACCAAATAACAAAACTATAATGTTAGTTCTAAATTGCTATAATATCACGATAATACTATGTATGTTCGTTTTGGTAAAAAAAAAAAAGAAAAAAGAAAAGAAACACGTCTCATGGTGTAAAAAAAAACCAAGAACGTTAGATTTAGTTTTTGTCATTTAAAGGAATTAAAATTCTGTATTAAGCCTATCATAATTAGTGTGGTATTACTGCAGTGGGCCTGGGAGAGCAGAACTGTTATTCATTACAAATCATCCACTTTCACCACATCTTCGTTTTTACAAAAGGATAAATGTGAAGATGTGTCTTTAATCTAAGGAACAAAACAACACAGTTAAATAATAACACTCATTTCTGTAGATGCTTGAAATCAGCTGTGTCCTATATATATATATATATATATATATATATATAGGACCTGCTGGTGTAATTTAGTGTAATATATTCCACATTAAAACCTGGCTACTCTGTCGATACGTCAGATGTAGTGTGACTACACTTCCAGCTGTATCCATTTACAATTTCATATATTTATTTAGACTTATCCTCATTGCGTTTATTTATAGTTGCACTCCAGTTTCCATGATCCAGGTGTTTGCAGGTGGAGTCAGGTGTAAACACTGACACTGAGACACACACACACACACACACACACACAGTTACAGACCCTTCTCCTGCCCTTTACTATTATGCTGGGTTCTCTTACCACAGACTGGCATACAGTTACAGGGCCTTAATTCTCCTCCTTGGCAGGGAGGTGCAGCGTTCCTCTGTGACAGTACCCCATGCCAGGCTCCTTTCAGCCCAGTGTGTAACTCTGCTTGAGTTTGCGGGGCCTCCGTGAGCGCCTCTTCCTGTTCCACAATGCGCCGTGGCGAACCGCGGCTCAGATTAGCTCCCAGCGCAGCCTGGTGCCCCTCGGAGTAAAGCCTTTTTTTTACTCCGTGCCAGAATCCAGCAGCTACTCACCCCCGTACATACACTCAGCTCGCCTTCATCTCTCTGCTTTCTGTGCATCACATTTGGATTTCCTTTTGTACATATATGATCATTATGAATGTGTTTCAGATATCGCTGCTGTTTTTCGGAGAGCTTTAACTGACCATAAGCCTGTTTTTTTCTTGTCTTCTTCTTCTTCTTTTTTCTTTAATATTGGAAAAGCTTTTGCTCAATCGTAAATTAAGTGTTGTTTCATTTTTGTTTATCACAGCTTCTGCTTGTGTCTAAAAAAAAAAAGTCGAACGCTGCTGTGGGAGGGAGAGTGTTTCCTATCCTGATCCTGCTCAGCTTTTCCACAGCCTGTCTGTGCAGCACCTCACACACACACACACACACACACACACACACACACACACACGACCAGAGAGGAACAGAGAGAACATTAGGAAATAACTAAAATAAAAAAACATCCACCTTCACAGGCTCAGATTGCTCCGTTTTCCAGGAGGCAGTGCTGGGGTTAACCAGAGTTTACAGAGGACAGACAGACAGTGGCTCCATTCTAACCTTTGGGGTGGCAGCATTACAGTTTTATTCTTAGCTCCCCATTCCAGGGTGTCTGTGTCTTGCGGAAGCTATCAGTTGCCAGGCCTGATGATTGGACCGCAGCCGTCTCACCCGCCTTGTCCCCACCGCGGTGTTTCAGTTCTCTTGTCCCATTGATGTCACCGTCACCAGCTGCAGGAGGAGGGAGGAGGGAAGGACGGATAGGAGGAGAAGGGGGGGGGGTTTGCTTTCAAGCAGCTTGATTGACAGAACAGGAGATACACACACACACACACACACACACACACACACTAACCCCCCTCCTCTGTTTCTGCTTCCCTACAGTACAGTATGTGTCTCTGCTTTTGTCCAATTATAGACTTGGGCCCTTCCAGGCGGGGCAGTGAGAGCTGGGACAGATCAAAGCAGCTGTACTCAGATCTGCACTTCTGCTCTGCAGCTGCAAAGCAAGGTTCCTCCACCAAAAGGAGCCTGATCGTTTACTTTTGACAACTACCTGGCTGCACACACACACACACACACACACACACACACACACACAGAGAGCATGATATAATGTAATTGTTGCGGATTGATCAGAGTCGACCCCAGAAAGTGGTTCATTTTCTTTTCACCGACTCTGCTGCATCTGATGATGATGATGATGATGATAATGGTTCGGGGATGTGCAGGAAGTGAGGGAGATAGCGCGCGAGAGAGACGGGAGGGATCTGATCGCATCCTTGATCGCATGTGTCTGGCTCGCCAGTCGGGCGCTCTGGGCCTTCCTCCACCTCAGAGACCCCAGAAGATCAGGTCATGTTTTTTCGAGCGACGTGTTCCATATTTGTCGGTCTGACGAAGCCGCACGGTTCCAGCATTAGTCATGTTTGGAGCCCGAGCCGCCTCATACGGCTTTCATTACTCGTGCTGTTATGATAAAAAGATGTTTCTGAGAGTGCAGCCTTCATATCTGCTCTCTGTGCTGGAGACGAGGCGGACGAGAGAGGTGCCTGGGCCAGGTCCGAAAGCCAACTGTGTGTTTGTGTGTGTGTTTTATGTGTGTGTGTGTGTGTGTGTGTGTGTGTGTGTGTGTGTCAGACCACACCGTATCTCCATGCTGCTATAGTGCAGCTGAGATGTTCATTTACCCATCAATGTGTCTCTGTGCACCGTCCCGACGTTACAAATGGCAAAGAAAATATCTTTTAATGGAGGCAAACAAAGAGAGGGATCGACAGGGAGACAGACGGCCAGACTGAGAGACTTAACGCCTTCACGTCACGCTAATCCATCACACACATCTTATCTGCTTTGCCCAATATCCTGGGCTTCAAAAGGAGGTAACGTTATCAGATGCAGTTACATAATGAAGAAGAGACCAAACAGGACAGAGTGGGATTTGTTTTGTTTTTTTTTTTTCCTTTCTGTGTGACGGTTTGCAGAGGCTTCACAATGTGGCACTGTTTCATGTGCAGTCAGAGCAGATGATTACACCCGCGGTAATACTTCTGGACAGTCGGGTCATGTTGTCCCGTCAGTTGCTGAGTGTTTGCAGAAGAAGAAGAAGAGAGAATCGTAATGATTAAAAGAGGAGAAAAAAAAAAAAAAATCACTCTCAGTCTCTTCTTCTTTTCCTTGGCGGAGTGTGTCAGTGCAGAACAGAGATTTCTGGACGGAGAGCAGAATTGTGCTCCAGTGTTCTGGCACCGGTCCGTAATCCGGGGCCGACAGAGAAATAGAGAGTGTCGGCGCCGAGGGAGCCACATTCATCTGGTGTGAAAAACACTGCTGGTGCGACACTTTCAACGGAAACTTCCTTACGCTTTGTTGTCATTTGAAATAATGTGCCCAATAAAGTTTGAGCTTTGGCGAGACCCCCTCCCCCCCCCCCCCCCCCC